AATTTGCAAATCAGCTGTTTTTGCCCTTAGAGGCGAAAGTAGACTTTTTTCTCTCCAAAACAGCTTGTTCGACGATTTCCGTTTTGGTAAACTAGAAATGATTCATTGGGTATTTCCAGAGGGCCAAGAAAAGCTTAATTAATAGCTTAATTTTTCTAGCTTATGAGGAGTTTGGAATTCACAGTAATGCTACCTAGCAAAGGTAGCTATGCTGATTACAGAAATCGTAACTGTTCTTCACGATAGGACCTTGCTAGGATAACGGTAGGTGTTTGATGCAGAGTCAAATTCATTGACTTGCCTGAAAAGAGATCTGGAATTTACTAGCAAGCAGATTAAGAGACATTCATTCTCGTGGTAAAGCTATTTCGCACAGAAGACTTGAACTTATCCACTTTTCCCTTTTCAAATAGATCACTGATTTCGACCTTACCATCTTGCAATTCTACAGTTAGGACTTTTCGTACAAAGTAGGTAATTTTTGGAATCAGCATGTCAATTACCGTCACTAGATAGTTTTGAAGACAGATCCGTAATTTTGACCGCTGCAGCACATACCTAAGGTAATCGTACAGTAAGGCCCTGTCATGGGGAATGGTTATTGTTTCCGCAATCAACACGTCATGCTTCCAGAAACATTATAACAACTATTAAGCTTCCTGCAATCCTAAAAAATAGTTGCCGGTTGCTTTTTTGAATCTGTGAACTTTCATTTTCAATCTTTTTGATTTAATAAAGTCGAGAGTTAGATAGAGGAAGACATCTTCCAAATAACAATGTATTGCCGGAGCTGCTTTCTTAGCGAATTTTTCGTTAAAAAAACGGCACAAACCCGACAACCCAGTAGTGAAAACTGGTACACGTAAAAGATTATAGAACAAAGCAAAAATTAAATAAAAAGTGCCCTTTCCAGGTGGTTTTGGAAAGCTGCCACTTAATTGTTCCAGGAAAATGGATAAAAGTTTCAATTAATCAGCATATGTACCACTCAATCATGAAAGTGCTACTCTAAACATGTTTAGTTGATCATGTCTTCAGATCTTTTCAAACTCTAAACTCCAAAAGATAAAACACTTGACATCTATTACAACGTTCAAAGGAAAATCTCCTGCCCTACAAGAAATTCTTTCGGCAATGCCATCAGGTGGATTTCGATTAGATAATAAAATTATTGAAATGAAATAGCAGAACAAAAAAGTATTACATCACTTGTCCTTTATAGCCATTCGGAAACTCAGATCTCTTTTAAAACTCACCTGATGAGGTTATTGACATGCACAACTCAGATCCCATCCGCTTGATAAACTGTTACATTTACTGTAGATTGTAGATACTACAATCTCGTAGATGGACGATGGAAAAACCAAATCACCCATCTGCTTAGAGAGGGAAATATCAAACATAGAAAACAAACCTATACAAAATGGCACCATTAAATCATTTTCTTGTTCAGGATATCAAACGTGAGCAAATCTGCGATTTTGGCGCTACATTGTCTGCGTGATGCTATAGTGCTTTGTCGTCATGACAGTAGCTATGAAATTTTTAAGGAACAAGTTATCGAGCCAGATCTCCAGAAAGGACGATTTTGGAGTAGCATTTCTTAATGCAAAAACTTGTCCGACAAATCAAAAAAGTGGTGGGATCAAGTTTTGACATGTACAGATTTCCTTTGTAAGGTTCATCTTTTCAAACGGGATACGCAAGATTCTCATATTCTTACAAAAGCCAGCAGGTAGAGAAGTATCATGAAGAATATCAAGAAATTTTATTGGAACCCTCACAGGATAGGCTCACGGGAAAAATCAACTCGCACAATAATGGTTTTTGATATGATATCCATAGATTAGACTGTTGAAGAGGGCTAAGTACTAAGCTCTCGACAAAATTGTGATAAAATGCATAAAAAAGTGTTAGCTTACAGAACACAGAAAATATACAGCAGCCTAAGAAATTAGACAGAACTCAATGCTCAAAGTGTACACAAAATTTGCCAAACGAAAGAACGGAAACTGTTGAAGGAGAGCGTCTAAAGCTGCATTCGCCACAGCAGACAAACACGAACAGATCGCCAGAAAAAATAACCCTAAAATATGGCGCACAAGGTAAAATGAAAGCAACAATATAAAGAACGTCACAAAAACACAAAGAGAAGACAACACGATAGAACTTTTCGAACCCAACTCGTCAAGACGTTATGATGATATTACGAGCGATGTCGAAGCCATTGAGATTAAGGGGTTAAGGATTCAACATCGATCAAGACGTATCTGGGGACTATGCATCAAGTAGATTGCCAGTAGGAACACCGGGCGTCGTCGGCGTAGACACACCATGAGCACCAGTGTGAGCCATGCTCGAATAATTGGCTCCACTGGAACTACTGGCTAGACGTTGCTCATCTTGGCTAGTACTCGCCCCTGCTGCCTGAACACGCTAATTAATAGGGGTAGCTCTCAAAAATGAGTACCCACTGATATCCCAAATTTAAAATACTTTTGCTGAACATGCAGAACACAAGGAAAAAAGGACTGGAACGAGCATATCGCGGTCTGCAAGGCACAACAACTATAATCGGTCACAATTCACAAAAGGCTGCCCTGGGATAGTTGGTACAAATGCAACCCTAGAGAGGATTTCCCGTATAAAAGAAAGGGGCTCTAAAAATATCAAAAGTCTAATTCATGTGATGATTTGTCATGATGTACTGCCTCACAGTTGGAACCATTTGCTGGGAAAAGGGAAGGAAACATGCAAGGTAGGGAAACGCACCAGACGGCTGCAAAGACTAGAGGTCAAGGAGGGGTTGATCATTCAAAGCAACGGATTGTAGCCGGATCGCTGATGATGCGGCATGGAGGGCCACTGATCCATAGTCGTACGTGGGGCGTCTGACTGGAAGGTAGTCGTTTCCTCTGGACCAGAGCTGTTCACTTCGCTGGCGTCTTGCATCTTGCTGCTGCTTGACTGACCCTTAAGCCGACAAACACTAACCGCAAGAACAACATAGGTCATGTTTTTCAAAATCCGCATGTACTACACAGAAAGGTAAACACAGCAAATAAAGCACAAAGCATGCAAACGGATACCACTAATAACTATAGTAGATTTGCCAAAAAAAGACCCTTATTAGTGAATATAACAAAAGGAAGTGTACAAATTAAAAACCTGATTGCAGGTTACCACTGACCGAGCGCTGCGGGTTGGAATGCTGAAATAAACTGATTAGTACCGGTCTGCAACTGTGAATTTTTGTAATCACACAATTATCAGGGACGCGTGGAACCGTCCACAGAATAGGCAAGAGTT